GCCCACCTATAAGATGGTCAGACTTCTTCGTCAAGACCCTGAATGATCGGTTTGAGGCTCTGCATGTTCCTAGAACGAACAGATACCATTGGGCTACGCTAGCACGCAACCGGGATGAATGGAGACGTTACTGGCACCCGCTCGAGTAAATCGATGAATAACGGGGATTAAGTGACAAGTGATGACTCTGATTTGCTGTTGTCTGGTTTGTTTGGGGTTTGGGCCACAGCTGGTAAGTACTCCGAGGCTGCTGCTCCTGGCTCTGTGCTCAAGGGTCCCTCCTGGCAATACTCAGCAACCATATGTAGTGTCGGGGCCACGTTGAGGCAAGAGCATTCAGTCCTGTTCTGTCTTTCCAGCTCCTGATTCTGGTTTATCTATAGCTTCCCAAATGTTTACATACCAGTTCTCCCAGATGCTGGAGCCATCCAAGTATTCAGCAGTAAACAAAATAGAATTGCTCCTCCCCTCACGTTTTATTTCTAGCCTGCATTTTCCTCAACAGTTAGCCCTCTGCTTTTCACTTCCCTCTTGGGTCTGAATCCCACTCTAAGACTTTATTTCCTGTAGCACACACATTATAGAACTTGATCTTGTTCGTTTTAACTTTGACCTGCATGAATCGGAAAGGAACTCATTTTTATTGAGTGCCTAATATTACTCCCTACAGTACTGCATGCAATGCAATCCACCTACAGTCCAGTGAGGTGGATTTTAAATCTGAGACACTTGAAAGTAAAAACTGTTACATAATTCTTCAAAGACACAGTGGAAATCAGAACTGAGATTTGTAGAGGAAGGTATCTTCCCCCTTACCATTTTAGATTCTTTGAGACCCAAAAAGCACAACATAAAACAGATGACCAGGAGAAAAGCATTTAATTCAAAACATAAGAATTCTATAGACAGGAATTATAGTAAAATAAGAAGAATCCCATAGACAGGAATTACAGTTAAGAAGTATCTGCTATATTCCAGAATGGAATGGAATTGGGCCTGGGGTTTCGAAGTGGGGTAGACAATAAGATAGGACTGTTACATCTATCTCAAAACCATGTCAAGATGCTGGAGAGAGTATCAGGGTTAAGGCACTTATCTTGCTTAAGACCAAGCCTGGTAAGATTCTCCAACGCCTCTTATGGTCCTCTGAGCACCACGAGATGAGGCCCAAATCCCTCCCCCAAAAATCAAGAAGAAGAGCAGATATTGAGTAATTACATCAAAGAGGTTTAATGGTACCAATGCAGAGAGATAGGACAGTGAGGAAGCGCTTGTCTTGCTTGCAACCGACTCCATCCCCAGCATCACATATAGACCCTGAGTACAGAGTCAGCAGTGATACCTGAGCACAGCTGGGTGTGCCCTGCCCCCCACCCCATAAAAAGTTATCATTGGTAATGGCTCATTTTCTGGACTAGACCTCTCTGTCTTAATATTTGGGGGATGATTAAGAGGGAAAAGTTTCTCCTTGAGTCTGCTGAGGAAACTTCAGATCAAAATCCACATTCCAGAATGGAACATTCTGGGGAGACTTGTTCTGAACCCCTTCCTGTCCATCCCCCAGGTCTGCTCAAGTCTAAATCAGACCATGTTCTTACAACTCCACCCACTCCACATTCCTAAATTTGAGGCAGTTTTTTCAGAAATTGATGTTTGTTTAGATGGGTGCTCTGTTCGTTATGCAAGCCTGGTTGTGCTTTGAACTTGTTTTGAATGCGATAGATGCTTATTGGATATTCTCTTTCATTATCATGCCAGAATGCTTCTGTTGGCCAAATTTCAGAGACTGTATTTATAGTTGTATTGTATGCTCCCATCATATTTTCTTGAAATAAAATTGCTCTGATTTGTGATAAACTCTTTTTCATAATCCAGATACACTTACTTTTTAATATTGCTTAAAACCTCATCATATACTTTGTGGCATCTGTTTGGCCTTTTTTTAAAACAAACTTCTTAAGTAATACCTTAGCAAAGCAGACAGTATATAAATGTGAGTTTTTCTTGCTCCAAATTTCATGTGAACATTTTATTTGTCCAAATTTGACAAGATGATGAGTCCTCCATCTAGACATGGTGTACTATTGTTCAGCAAAGAGTGATGATAAAAAAAATAGGCTCTCTCAAGAGAGAGAGAGAGGAAGAAGAAGAGAAAATAGGTTCCCTTCGACTCAGTGGGCAGCTCAGTGGCCAGAAGCACCTGCCCTGTAAATATGAGGCCATGAATTCAATCCCTGGGACCACCTATATGCACAAACAATCTGGTACGTCTGCTGTTGCACCCCTGCTTCAGCAAACGTACTGTTTGCAAGCACCACAACTGAAGGTATGCAACACTGTATGTGTGCATCACAAACTAAAAAGTGGGCAACCCCGAGTTGTAATAACAGCAACAAAGGGAAAGAAAAGGGGGGAATAAAATTCAGTTTAAAAGGGAATAAGAAACCAGAGAGATATAACAGCAGTCAGGGAGCTTGCCTTGCACACAGCCAAGCCAGGTTCAATCCTTGGCACCTTATTTGGTCCCCTGAGCACTGCCAGGAGTGAAGCACAGAGCCAGAAAAAAGCCCTGAGCCTATATAGCAGGTATGGCCCAATAACTAAAATAAGAGTGAATAAAATTACAAAAGAGAAATAACTTTCCCAAAAAAAAGAAAATATGCTCTCCTATAAAACATGTATTGCAGGGGCACGGAGCGTTAGTACAACGGGTAGAGTGTTTGCCTTGCATGCGGCCGACCCGGGTTCAATTCCCAGCATCCCATATGGTCCCCCGAGTACTGCCAGGAGTAATTCCTGAGTGCATGAGCCAGGAGTAACCCCTGTGCATCGCCAGGTGTGACCCAAAAAGCAAGAAAAAAAAAAGCATGCATTGCAGTCCAACTGAATCACTTAATCACTTAATCACTTAACTTCCCGTTAGTCGTCGATTTGCTCGAGCGGGCGCCAGTAACGTCTCCATTTGTCCCTGTCGCGTGCTAGTGTAGCCCAATGGCATCTGTTCGCTCCGGGAACATGAAGGGCCTCAAACCGCTCGTTCATGATCATGAACGATCATCCAACTGAATAGTTGTCCATTTATATGAAACAATGAGCAAATGCATTCTGATTCAAGTAGCAGAGACAGCACATAGAAATCCTTTGAGATACAGTTCTTACAGGCCTGCATCTGAGTACAACAGTGATCTCGTCATTCTGACAGCTATTTTGCTCCTGAATAAAAGGAATAAAGAAAGCCAAATGAACACTCTCTATTAAAAGATGTAAATCTTGGGGTTGGGGAAAGAAATCAGAATGGGCTGAATGCATGCTTTTGCATACAAGGGTCCCAGATTTTATCCCTGATACCGCATGGTCCCTCAAGAGTCACCTGGTGTGACCGTCACCTACCCCAAGCACCAAGCCAGGAGTAACCCCTGAAGAGTGTCAGGTGTGACCCCAAAACAAAACAAAATGTACATCATAGAAAAGTGATGTACCCAAGTACAGTTGTGTCATATTCACTAATGCATCTGCCTGTCAGTATGAGTCCAAACCTTTGTACTCTGAAAAATGTATCCTTGAGTTTTTTTTTTCAATTAAAATATCCAGATTGGGATCAGAGTGATAGTACAGTGGGTACAGCATTTGCTTTGCACTCAACCAACCCGGGTTTGATCCCCAGCATCCCATACGGTCCGCCAAGCACCACCAGGAGTGATTCCAGAATGCAGAGCCAGGAGTGACCCCTGAGCATCACCGAGTATGAACAACAACAACACACACACACACACACACACACACACACACACACACAAAGCCTAATTCCTAGAAATATATGGACATGCACACAAATCATATTAATGTGCCTTTTCCAAGGAAAAACACATATATTCATAAGGAGATTAAGCACATATGTTTTTCAGCAGATATTTGTCAAATGCTCAGTGTTTACCAAAGTTACAAGTACAGATCCCGGATTTACTTATTTCCCTCTGTGACTCAGAGAGCGATCACCCTTTGCTTCTTGAATTCCGGTTCTTCCCTGTTTGCATCTCTCAGTCAAAGAAGAATACATATGCCTTATGTTCTCAGTAGAGGGAAAAACTCCTCCCTCACATGATCTTCCCTTGATTGGTTCCTCCAGTCTACTCCCTCCCTCTTTCTTCTTAATCATTGTGGTACATTCTCTTATTTCCCTTTTCTCTGTGCGCTCTTCGAGCATGGTCACTGCAGAGCTCTTGCTACTGGGATAGACTAGAAAAATTTGCTCGTGGATTCTTAAATCCATTTAGTTTAGAAGATCCCCAAATATCAGTCATGGCTTCAAACTCTGACTCAGCCTCCAAGAACACTAAGAAAGGTAAGGAATGTACGAAGTGGGGCTCTTGGCAGTAAATTTTTTTGTCCTCTGCTGCATTTGCAATGAGAAACCTTCTAACCCATTTGTAGAATACAAGCTGTCCTACAGTGAGTGCGCGGGTGCTTACTGGCCATGCTATAGTAGTTTTTCAGAAATAATGATGACAGTAACCCACTTATTTTCTCGTACCCTTGCTAACTGACCGATTAGGAGTTCAGTTTTGACTCTGGGATGGAAATTTTTTTCTGAGCAAAATTGATAAACCTATTTAATGGCGTTTTAAGCAGGTGTTTTAGAGTTGAGGCCCTTGTGTATTAAGTGTTTATAAAAAATTAAACATACCAGAAGTATATTCTTTTTGAGGGCCAGAGATATATAAGTACAGTAGGAAGGACACTTACCTTGCATGTGGGTGACAGGGGTCCAATCTCCATTACCTGCTGTGGTCCCCAGAATTCACCAGGAGTAAGCCCTGAGCACTGCTGGCTGTTGCCAAGAAAACAAAGTTCTTTTAGATGTGCTTAACTTGAGAATATTCTCAGAAAATATTCATGATCATTAACTTTCTTATATACTTCTTAAAAGTAAACTTTTGGGTTAGATAATCTAGCCTAGTTTATTCTTTTAATGAAAATTTCTCCCAATCTTTTTCTTTCAGTTCCAGTGTGCTGCTCTGCTCGTTACAATTTAGCAGTTTTGGCCTTTTTTGGCTTCTTGGTCCTGTATGCATTGCGGGTTAATCTAAGTGTTGCACTAGTGGATATGATAGATTCCAACATGACTTTGTCCGATAATCGAACTTCCAGAGAGTGCGCAGAACATTCTCCTCCCATAAAAGTTCTCCATAATCAAACGGTAAGTGCTTTTAAAAAAGGAAAGAAAAAGAAAAATCATCTTAATGCTAAAATACCTCCAAAAATTATGAGAAGGTCTTTCCTCATTTATCAGAGATCACAGACCTTTCCTCCCTGAATAACTGTCTTTTGTGTTTTCCTAGGGACTGTTTGGATAGTAACTTGTTACTGTAGCTACTGTTGTACTGCCCTGGATCTGGGGGAAAAGTTGTTTTTCAGTTTCGTGTTGAAACATTACAGCTTTAAAAATAATTTAAAAATACCTGTTTTGCCCAAGCACAAAAATGTGTAAGTCTGCAACTGTACCTCATGATGTCTCACTATTAAAATAAATAAAATTTTTTAAAAAGGAAAAAAAAATACTTGTTTTGCATACTAGAAAATTCAATTGTTTGAGATGCTGCTAAGTAGTTTTTATGAGACTGTGGTTTATTAGCAATTTCTGTAATTACAAGATTGTTCTGGGTGTTGAGAGTTTAGGAAATCTTAACTGCAGATTGAAAACCCAGAACAGGACCATTTCTTAGGACTATCTTTTCTAAGACTTGTGCACCCCGAATTTCAGTCATTCTGCCTGCCTCTTGCTGGAGTTACTTTGTGATCATCACTTGTTACAACTGAGTTTTACCCTCTTTAAATATTTTGCCTATCATATGTAGAGAAAGAAATCGGGGGGGGGAAGTGGCTTCCTTTTAATGAGTACAGATTCATCCATTTTCAGTGCTTTTGAAGTAGAACAGTCACATTTCGGTGAGTGCAAATGAGCTCTGTACAAATAAGAGCATTCAAGTAAAGCGGATGCTTTCTGCCTGAATACACACACATGAAAGATGACTTCTCAAAAATATTCACATTCGACTTAAGTAATATTGCTGAATAACATATCTGGGTTTACATCGCACCTCTTTTCTCTGCTCCAGTCTATAAGATTTACAGCAAGAGTGCTGCTGGGTAGTTGACAAAGTTCTAGATTGCGATGAGCTTCAAATTGGCACCATTGACAAGAATAATTTGGGTTTGCTCCATACCTTTCCTCTCCTCAAGTGCTTTTGCTGACTCGTAACTATTTTAATCTGTCCTATTATCAGCTTTAAAAAGAAATCCTAGAATGGTTCTTGACAGATTAATTCTGTTATATAGCTATGTGTATTAAAGATGTCAGGTATTTTGATCATCCACTAAATTTTCATTATTATATTCTGCTCAGGAATCAAAGACATTTCCTATTTGCATAGCTTAATTTAAATGTTTGGTCCTTTGTATTGTTCAAGTGTTTGGTCTGAAGTGAGGAGATACTAATGATCGACATTTATGCGTATTAATAATCAAAATTAAGTGAACATACAGTTCATGTCAGGCCCTTTATGTGTCTTTTTCATTTAATCTTCCTAGATCACAAACTTAGTAAGTATTAGAGGTAAACTTGAACTCAGCCTGGCCACAAAGCCTGGTTTAACCACTATTAAATCCTGCTTGGTAGTTTCTGGATTAAGCCTGTGAGTAGTTCCCCTTTGTTTTTTTCAAACCTGCCTGTTCATAGGCACTACGAAGTCTCTTTGAATAGTCCTCCATTCAAACAGGAACCGTCTTGAAGTTCACGATTTTCAGTTATCTTTTTCATTCACTTCTAGAAATTGTCTATTTATGGTAGTGAATGGCCCAGCTAGTCGAGTTTGCAACTACTTCAGTCTAAAATAGTGGCTCAGAATTATATCTCTGCGTATTTACGGCTGGTCAGAGAAAGGATCTGTTTGGCCAAGATCTTAAAGAGTCTGTTTTGTTCCCCCCTCATTTTCTTTATAGGGTAAAAGGTACCAGTGGGATGCAGAAACTCAAGGATGGATTCTCGGTTCTTTTTTTTATGGCTACATCATCACGCAGATTCCTGGAGGATACATTGCCAGCAAAATTGGGGGGAAACTGCTGCTAGGATTTGGGGTCCTTTGCACCTCTGTCTTCACCCTCTTCACTCCCATTGCTGCCGATTTTGGAGTCGGAACTCTGATAGCCCTCAGAGCCCTGGAAGGACTAGGAGAGGTAATTTTCTTCTCTCTTGTTTTTCTCTCTACCCTGAATTACTGTCTTATCTCTTGGTTGTTTTTGTTTTTGTTTTTCGGTGATGCAACTGAGGTTGATTTAAATTTGTTTTAAAACTGGATGGTGACTTTGACATCTCTGAAGCATGTTTCTCTCGTGTTGCTCTGTTCTGAGAGATTATTTCTGAGTCTCTGGATCATGGCTATTAAAGAGCTTATATGGCATCAGTGGCAGTTCATGGGCATGAGTGCCAGGCTACCTGGAGCACAGAGAAATGGAGGGAGGTCGCCTATTCCTGACTGTGCAAGCCTGGAGATTTCTGTTACAAGTCCCGCATACCTGAGTTTTTTCAGCAAATTCACTCATAGATGAGGCTTGTCCAAGCCTGTGGAGATCAGCTGATGAGCATGGCGGCAATTGCATTCTGGAGGTTTTCAGCTGCCAGGGCTCTGTTGTCTTGGGTAGGGGAACCCAACTGTCCTACTCTGTTGCCCTAGATGAGACAGCCTGGCGTGGGGCCCAGAGGCATCTCAGCCTGTCTTGTCTTTTAAAGACATTATTCTTTGGTTTGAACATGAACCAGACATTGACACAGACAGGGATTTATTTATTTTTTTTAAATTTTTTATTAGTGAAACACTATGAGATACAGTTGTAGACTTATAAATTTTTGTGCTTGGGTTTCAATTATACAATGATCAAGTACCCATCCCTCCACCAGTGCCCATTTTCCACCACCACGGATCCCAGTATCCCTCCCACCCCCCATCCCCCCATCCCACCTTGCCTCTGTGGCAGGGCATTCCCTTTTGTGCTCTCTCTCCTTTTGGGTGCTGTGGTTTGCAAAAGAGGCATTGAGTGGCAATCATGTTCAGTCTATACAGGGATTTATTTTTAACTAGAAAGATTATTCACTAGAAAGTAACCCAAGTGAACTTCATTTGTGGTCAGTGAATTTTTGAGTGAAAGCGCCCCCAAATTAGGAGCTTTACACAAATGTATTTCAAGGGACACTTCACATTTCTTTCTGAGGAACTAAGTCACTGTAGGAATACTTAAGATAGTAATCCTTACCTCATGAACTTTTGCCATTTTACCTTCACTGTATCACTGATGGCCCAGCTCTAAAATACATTTTACATACTGAACTTTTGCCTTATTTAACTTATATTTGTTGCTCCCTATCATTTCACTTAGAGACAACTAATTTTCAATGAATCTGTTTCTTTGGTTCTAGTCTTCTGCTGGCCTTCCTTGCTGCTTATGGAATTACTAATTTTGATCTCCTTTGTCTTCTAAGATTTTTTTTTATTCTGTGTGTGTGTGTGTGTGTGTGTGTGTGTGTGTGTGTGTGTGTGAATCACCGTGGGGTATGGTTACAAACTTAGAACTTTTGTGTTTGCATTACAGTCATACCATCCCTCCAAATCCCTCCATCAGTGCCCATTCTCCCCCACCAATGTTCCGAGCCTCCCTCCCACCACCCCCAGCTCAGCCCCCACCACCCCACCCTGCCTCAGCGGCAGGGCATTCCCTTTTATTCTCGCTCCTTTTGGATATTCAATAGAAGTATTGAGCGGCCATTGTTTTCTTTTATTTTATTTTATTTATTTACTTTTTTGCTTTTTGGGTCACACCCAGCAATGCACAGGGGTTATTCCTGGCTCTGCACTCAGGAATTACTCCTGGCGGCGCTCAGGGGACCATATGGGATGCTGGGAATCGAACTCAGGTCAGCCGCGTGCACGGCAAACACCCTATCAGCTGTGCTATTGCTCCAGCCCCAGTTATTTTATTCTTAAAAAAATACTTTTTCTTTCCAGTTTTGTCTGTTTTAATTTGGGAGGAGGGAGGCACACCTGTCTATGCTCAGGGCTTTCTCCTGGCTCGAAGTTCTGGGATCACCCCTGGAAGTTCGAAGGGCCCTTTAAGCAGAACTGGGAATTAAACCAGGTACAGCTGCAGGCAAAACAAACTCCCTTTTCTCTCCAGCTCTCTTTCTACTCCCTTTGTACAGAAACCTCATCCTTAGTGGCTGGAGCAATAGTACAGTGAGCAGGACATTTGCTTGGCGTCCATCTAACCATGGTTCAACCCCTGCCTAATAACTCCACATGGTCTCCCAGACTGCCAGAAGTGATCCCTCAGTCTAGAACCAGGAATAAGCCCTGAGCACAGCTGGGTGCAGCCCCCTCCCCCCAGAAGTGATTCCTTTATAACTTTGAACTTCTGTTCACAAAACCAAAGCTTTAAGTTTCTTTTGCTCTCTCTTAACATTCCTTTAATCCAAGCAGGATTGTGGCCTCTGGATTTGATACATGAAGGTGATTTCTGATAGCAGCATGCCAGACTTTGTTGGCAAAATACTAAACTAAAGTCAGAGTTTAGACACTAACTCCACTAATGATAAAACCCTAGATAAATCCTAATCGCTACACCTCAGTTCCTTTAACTCCAGTTTTTTAAATTGGGGCTAAAATACCTGCCTCATTCTCAGTTGTAGCTCAAATGTATAGTAAACCCTAGAATACTTTGGGAATTGCCAAATGCTATTTATAAATTTAAGATTTTCTCACTCATCCAGACATCCTTATTTTGTTTTATCATTTGGGGTTTACTAAACCCTTTTTGATTATAGGATTCATAATTATCAGTCATTACCTAAGTAAAATATGTTTCATTATACATGTTTTTTATGAACTAGAGTGTTCTATTGTCTAGTTATAGACCTCTTATTGTCTAGTTTTCACTCTCGGAGAACCCGGCAGGGTACTGAGAGTATCCTGCCTGCATATATGCCTGACTGGGAACACCTGTAAAGGTGATTAGAGGCTGCCCCAAAAGCCTCCATCTCTCTCTTAGAGCCCGGCAATCTACCGAGAGTATCCTGCCTGCATGGCAGAGCCTGGCAAGCTACCCATGGCATACTTGATATGCCAAAAATAGTAACAATGATGGTCCTCATTCCCCTGACCCTGAAAGAGCCCCCAATATGCCATCGGGCTACACTAGCACATGATAGGGATGAATAGAGACATTACCGGTGCCTGCTTGAGCAAATCAATGAACAACGAGGTGATAGGGGTAGTGATAGAGTGTTCTTACTATATGTATTTCTGTATTTCCATTCCCTATTTATGTCACTAATTTAGTGTTATAGTATATATTGATTTTATTACTGCTTGCTCTCACGTTTATTTCTGAATTGAATTTAAGTTATGCTCATTCTCAGGCTCTTTTTTTTGTGTCCATTCCTCCAATACGTATCTCCACATGTACATGGCCTCACCCTTAGGTAACTTCTTTCATCTTTCATACCGGATTCACCGTAACTATACTTGGAGCCAGGAATATAGCTCAGAGCTAGAGTACAGACCTTGCGTGTGTGAGGCCCTGGGTTCACTTCCTGGCAGCACATACCTATTTTAATTGAAAACATACATTGTTCCTAGAGTTTTAGACTAAGAATTTACCATAACATAATCTCTTTGGCATTTTCAAACATCTTAAGAATTCTTCTGTAGTGATATTCCTTCTGGATGTTCCATGAGATTAATCATTTCTCACAGATTTGCAATGCTGCCTAAGTTATTTTTCCTTCCCATTGGTAAATTTTTGCTTTTGAAATTGTCAGCAGAAAATACAGAGTATCTAGGCACTTCCTCTTCTCCATTTTTTTTACTGTGGGGGCGGTATCCAGGAGTGAGTGGGTCCTACCTTAGCACTGGCATCTCCCAGGAGAAAGGGGGGTACATGTCCCATAGAGCTCTCTGTGGGAACAGTCAGACTTCCCCACAGTCAGACCATGACCACGGTCATGGTCGTCCCGTTGTTCATCGATTTACTCGAGCGGGCCCAGGAACGTCTCCATTGGAGACTTTTGTTACTGTGTTTGGCATATCGAATACATCACGGGTAGCTTGCCAGGCTCTGCCATGCGGGTGAGATACTCTCGGTAGCTTGCCGGGCTCTCTGAGAGGGGTGGAGGAATCGAACCCTGCTCAGTCGGGCTGGCTGCGTGCAAGGCAAACGCCCTACCGCTGTGCTATCGCTCCAGGCTTCCCCAAACTGGGAATAACCTGCTAGTCATCAGTAAGCGAAGGGGTAAAGGGGCCCTGGACACAGGCATGCACACGGACACTCACATACACATACACAGACACTCACTTGCCCCAGTTTCTGGTGTGTCAGCTCAGCGGATGCCCCTTGGCAATCAAAGTCCAATCTCCCAGGCTGTGCAGCAGCATGGATCAAACCCAAAGGGAACTGGAGGCAATGCTGAAAGGAGCCTCAGCCCACAGGATGGAGCACCCATGGGTGTCGCATGGGGACACGCAGCACAGGGGTGGGCAGAGCCCAGCGCTGTGGGGCTTCCCTTTAGCCAGAGCCTCCTGGAGAAGGAAAAACAGAAAACAAAACACATGGCAGTGTTTAAGGAACCATAAAGTACCTCATGGTGTTTCACTAATAAAAATTAAAAAATTAAAAAAAAAAAGGAACCGTAAGTGCCATGGCCTTGTACAGACAGGGCACGCGCTCACCCCGTGAGCCACATCTCCAGCTGTGCTCTTCAGTGGAATAGCACCAACTGTCATTTATCATTTCTTTCCTTTGTTTGGGTCACACCCGGTGATGCACAGGGGTTACTCCTGGCTCTGCACTCAGAAATTACTCCTGGCGGTGCTCAGGGGACCATATGTGATGCTGGGAATTGGACCCGGGTCGGCCAAGTGCAAGGCAAACACCCTGCCCGCTGTGCTATCACTCTAGCCGCATTTACCTTTTCAATAGTCATACAGATGGATTTTTTTAAAAAAATTTATTAGTGAATCACAGTGAAGTACAGTTACAAACATATGAACTTTCGTATTTCAGTCATGCAATAATTGTTTACCCGTCCCCCACCAGTGCCCATTCTCCATTCCCAATGTTCCCAATATCCTTCCCACCACCCCCACCCCAACCCCCACACCCCACCCCACCTCTGTGGCAGGGCATTCCCTTTCGTTCTCTCTCCTTTTGGGTGTTGTAATTTACAATAGAGGTATTGAGTGCCCATTGTGTTCGGTATAGTCTACTGTCAGCACACATCTTTCAACCCAAATGGGTCCTCCCAACACCCTTTACTTGGTGTTCCCTTCTCTATCTGAGCTTCCTTTTCCCCCAGCATGTGAGGCCGGTTTCCAAGCCATGGTCCTTATCTCTACTACCCCTGGGAGTTGATCCCCCATTCAGTTACTTTCTATTCCACAGGTGAGTGCCATCTTTCTATGACCGTCCCTCTCTTTCTGACTCATTTCACTTAGTATGATACTTTCCATGTAGTACCACTTATATGTAAATTTCATGACTTCATCTTTTCTACCAGCTGCATAGTACTCCACTGTGTAGATATACCAGAGTTTCTTTAACCAGTCATCTGTTCTCGGGTACTCAGGTTTTTTCCATATTTTGGCTATTGTAAACAGTGCAGCAATGAACATACAAGTGCTATTGGATTTTTTTTTTAGTCAGATAAAAATATTGAATTTTGTTCACTAGAGACTGGGAAAATGGCTCAAAGGGCTGGAACATTTACTTTGCAGAGTAGTGCCCCACTTTTGAAATCTGTCACCCCATGTTTCCCTGAACACCACCATGAGTGACCTCCAGACACCTCCCAGAGGGGCGGAAAACCAAAGCACACATACAAATAGGTTAGTCATGGTGAAGCTGCACAGTCAGTGTCCAGACAGCACTTCAGACCCACTGTGCTGAATGTGCCAGGCCCTGTTCCCTCCTGTAACATCTCCTCCTCGCCCTGTGAGCCAGCTTGCCTCCACTTCTCCATGGTCTCCCTAAAAAAAAAAAAAAAATGACGTTTGCTAGAAGAAAAGGCTATCAACACCTGAATTTAATTTGTATTTTTTTTGTAGGACCATTTTTTCTATAGATTTTTTTCCTATAGGTTTGTTTGCATTTTTTCATATCTATAAAGATTAACTCAGTATTTTTTTAAAGTTATATATTAATAACATCCCCATTTCATTTAGGCCATTAATAAAGCAGATCAGTAAAATTCACCTCAAGAGGGATCCCTTGAAGTCAGCACTTGGTATATTCTTTTAGGTTGACTGTAGTCCTTCTTTGGAAATCCTCAAACCTGTTGACAGTTATCCACAAATGTTCATTCAAATTTTGGAAATATGAGGTACTTTCTTTAAAGAGTTTAAAGACATTCCATCACTTCATGAAACCTGTTTCTACTTTAATTTTTTTAAATGTATTTCTTTATTTGTTGGTTTTGGGGCCACACCCAGAGTTGCTCAGGGGTTACTCCTGGCTCTGCACTCAGGATTCACTCCTGGCACTTCTTAGAGAACCATATGGGATGACTGGGATCGAACCCGGGTCGGCCATGTGCAAGGCAAACACCCTACCCGCTGTACTGTGGCTCCAGCCCTCTACTTGGATCCTTACCTAGACTTTTCTTTCACAATAAAATACTCAGCTGCTTTTAAAACGTTACAAGATGGGGGTGCTGGAACACTAGTACAGCCGATGGGAGAACACTTGCCTTCCACACAGCACACCGGGTCAATCCCTGGCATCTCATATGGTCCTCCAAACCTACCAGGAGTGATCATTGAGCTCCGATCTAGGAGTAAGTCCTGAGCACCACTGGATGTGGCCCAAAAAAACAAATTTTAGGGGCTGGAGTGATAGCGTTTCCTTTGCACGTAGCCGACCCGGGTTCGATTCCCAGCATTCCCTATGGTCCCCCAAGCACCACCTGAGTGCGTGAGCCAGGAGTAGCCCCTGTGCATCGCTGGGTGAACCCAAAACAAAACAAAAAACAAAAAAACAAATTTTAAAAATTCATACTGGGTGGGGGTGTGTGGAGGGATAGCACAGCAGGGAGGGTGTATACTTTGCATGCTGCTGACTCGGGTTCGATTCCCAGCATCCCATGTCGTCCCCTGAGCACTGCCAGGACTAATTCCTGAGTGCAAAGCCAGGAGTAACCCCTGTACATCACAGGGTGTGACCCAAAAAGCCAAAAAATAAAAATAAATAAAAATTCATACTACTGTTTATTTTATCGGAAATATCTTTTCCCTCCTCAGGGTGTTACATTTCCTGCCATGCATGCCATTTGGTCTTCTTGGGCTCCTCCTCTTGAAAGAAGCAAGCTTCTCAGCATTTCATATGCAGGTGAGAATTACAAAAACTTCATCACAGTATATTAAGTATAAATCAGACTGGGGAAACAAGTGTCCACACACTAGAATGATGCAGGTAAGATTCCTCCTTTGAAGTAAAATAGAAGTTTGGTAGTATAATATTCATTTTTCTCTTTGGCTCCATAGTATATAGTAATGTGACTGCATTAACTCATGACAATTTCTCCTTTTGTCATCAAATTTCAAAATACGTTGCTTTTATACATGCTGTTATAGAAAGTTCAATATATCTTTAAGTCCAGTAGCAGGAAAATTGGATCCTTAAAATTGTGATTGTCTAATGAGTGTATCATGACTCTAAACCCTTCTCTTCAGGAATCTTTTTTCATTTATTTGCATCTTTTTTTTTTCTGATAGGTGAAAAATCGTGAGCTTTACATGTAAATTATATTGCCAGATTATCCAAGGACTTTTAGCCTTTCTTCCATTGACTGAATGAAAACTTTCTGGTCTGACTTCTCAAGTATAGTGGTTAAGAAAGACCTCTCTGTGGTAAATTTTAAACTAAAATTCAAAGGATAAGAACAAACCAGTCATGCAGAAACCGGAAGGGAAATTTCAGCCAGTCAGACAGTGTACTAAGGCTCTCAAGCAGGAAATATAAGAGTTCAAAGAAATGAAAAATCTGAGGTGGCTGGAACATAATCGTAAAAGGGATAATGGCATTAAATGGAGTTAAGAGAAATAGATTATATCAGGCCGTACAAGTCATGAAAGTAATGTCGATTTGGGTGGCAGGCAGGGAGGGTGTGGGATAGGGTAGTTTTTGGCTTTTGCATTACTTTGGTGGCTCTTTCTAACTCAGTGCTGGCAGTTGCCTTGTGTGGTGTTTAGAGGGTCGTGTAGTACCAGGGAATCAACCTGGCAAAGTCTGCACTCCAGCCCATGGAGCTGTATCCTACATGAAGAATATTGGTTTTGGGGGCCAGAGCAATAGTACAGAGGGTAGGGCATTTTCCTTGCAGGTGGCTTTGATCCCCAGCATCCTAGATGGTCCCTGGAGCACCAGCAGGAGGAGTTCCCAAGTACAAAACCAGGAGTAACCCCTGAGCATCTCCAGGTGTTGCTCAAAAACAAAAACCAAAGAATACTGGTGGTCTTTTTGTCTTCCCCTAAAATGCAATTAGAGGGACTGGCGTGATAGCAGATCGGGTAGGGCGTTTGCCTTGCACGCAGCCGACCCTGGTTCGATTCCCAGCATCCCATATGAGCACCCCTGAGCACCACCAGGGGTAATTCCTGAGTGCAGAGCCAGGAGTAACCCTTGTGCATCGCCGGGTGTGACCCAAAAATCAAAAAAAAAAAAAAAAAAAAGCAATTAGAGACATGAGAGGGTTTTTTTTTTCTTACTTGGATTGAAATTTTTTTTTATTATTGAATCACCGTGAGATACAGTTACAAAGCTTTCATGTGTGAGTTTCAGTCATTCAATGATCAAACATCCATCCCTCCACCAGTGCACATTTTTCACCACCAGTGTCCCCATTATCTCCCCCACAACCCCATCCCACCCTCATGAGAGGTTTTCAATGAAGAGAGACACAGTCGAGTTTGCATCTTAAGAACATTATTCTTGATTCTTGGAGATTGACATTTTAAATCAGATGGTAAACCCAGGAACAGGTACTCTCTGTTGAGTAAACTCTTGAACTCCAAACAAGGATCAGCATTCTTTATATTCTCAGTAGTTTCAGATCACATAATAAAGGCTTTAATAAATTATCCCTTAAGAGAATGGATTAATGTAGTTTATTTCTGCTAGCTTTGTCCCTGGTACAAGGTGCCTTACCATGGAGTAGATAAACTCTTAACTATTCACCCAAATTTTCCACTCTTTATCTTCCATTCCTTTCCTTCACCCAAAGTTTACAAACACTTTCTACTTTCCTATTTTTGTTCCTTTGTTAAATTTATTACATTTGCCTTGGTTATCCTTCTTACCTTATCTATGACACCCCCATCTAATGTCTTTTCATGGTGCATTCCTTTTTCTTGCTTCTTGACCTCTGTCAGTCAGAGATAAGCTGTCCAATATTTGCACTTCTGTATCGTTTTATGACTTTTAACACTTTTTAAATAGGTAATAATTACTATTTTATATATTTTCTCCTAGGTGATGTCAAAAGCTGTAAACAGACATAATGTTTTATTTCTCACTGTACCTACTCAAATATCTTAAATTTGACCATTAAAATAAATTTTTTTTTCTGAAACAATTTTTGTAATACATTTCAGCAACTAGATTTCCAACCATTTCAGGCAACAGTAGGTTATGCTTATTATCCCTTGAGGTCATATTTGAATCTTTCCCCAGACACCTAGATTTCTAATATAGATGGCGTTTACTAGCTACCTATTTTATTCTATTGTAATAGGTCTTAAAATTGATCGATGCCTTTTAATTCATCACTTAATACATAACGGTATCTATTTTAAGCATATACTGTTGCATAAAGGTCACATAATGAGGGCTTTTAATAAATGGTCCCTTGGGGGAATGTATTATTTATAGTTACATGCTACTAACTCAGCTATGATCGTATTGAACTACTTTTCTCCATTATTTGTAATCTACCTTCTTCAAAGAAGTAGGCACTTGCTCCAAAGTTTACTGAGTCTTTGTTGTTTTTTTAGGAGCACAGCTTGGGACAGTAATTTCTCTTCCTCTTTCTGGAATAATTTGTTACTATCTGAATTGGACTTATGTATTCTACTTTTTTGGTAAGTTTATTCAAAATTTTAATGTACCTTACATGTAACACATCCAAAATCTTAACTGTGGTTAAAAATATGTATCCCAGGGTCCAGAAAGATAGCCCAGATGGTAGGGCACATGCCTGGCATGTACAGGGTCATGAGCTTGATCCCCAATGCCACCAGCCTGCCCATTGCCCAGGGCTGAGCTCTACCGGGATGGTCCCAGGGCCTCAGCTACTGCTAGGTATGACCCCTATGGAAGAAATACATATGTACACACAGGTGTAGAAGTATATCAACACCAACTCACTGAAGTAATCATTTCCTAAACCATAAGCCACTGAAATATGTACTAAAAAAGAAATCTGCCTTTTAAGTCCATACCATTATTGCTGGGCTGAAGCGATAGCACAGCAGGTAGGGCATTTGCCTTGCACGTGGCCGACCCAGTCGACCTGAGTTCAATTCCTCCACCCCTCTCCGAAAGCCCAGCAAGCTACCAAGAGTATCTCTGCCACACAGCAAAGCCTGGCAAGCTACCTGTGACGTATTCGATATGCCAAACACAGTAACAACAAGTCTCACAATGTTACTGGGCCCACTTGAGCAAATTGATGAACAACGGGAGGACAGTGACAGTGACCATTATTTCTTTAATTATCTAATTATTTTTAGTTTTTTGATAGTGCTGTCTTTCAATTTATTGGGTTTTGGGCCGTACCCAGCTTGGTGCTGGGGAACACATGGTGTCTGGGAGGGGCCCAGGGCTCTATCATACGTAGCAAACATGGCAGCCCTCTGAACCACTACCTACCTGAATCATGTAATGTTTCTCAATTGAAATGGCTATTGAATCCAGAACTTAAATCCTGAATTTACTATCAAACATCACTATGTTGACCATTATAAAACTATATTTCGAAAACATTTTTTCTCAAAGAAAGCAGAATGCTCTCACTGGTAGGTTTATTTGTGTGCGGGGTGGGGGTGGGAGAGAAAGTGAGGGGGGTTACTCCTGACTTTGCACTCAGGAGTTACTCCCGGCATTGCTCAGGGACCATATGAGATGCCAGGGATGGAACCCGGGTTGGCCACATGCAAGGCAAATGCCCTACCCACTGTACTATCACCTCCAGACCCTCACTGGTAGTTTTAATCTCTTTTTTCCCTTTATCTTATTTAGTCCTTTCCTTTCTCAATCCATTAGTAGAATAATACACATTTTTTTTCTCAGATTGTTACACAGATTCATCGTGCAAGAAATATATACCTATCATCAAAACAAAAATCCGGGGCCAGAGAGATAATACAGTGGATAGGAGGCTTTCCTTGCATACAGCTTCCCAGGTTTAATCTCTGGCATCCCGTCTGGTCCCCTGAGCAGAGCCAGGATTAAGTCCTGAATATGATTGCCATGGGGTATGGCCCCAAAACAACTCCTCTCCACCCCACCTCCCCCCAAAAAAACCTAAACAGCAGATGTCTATGGGAGATAACAGATTGTGGAAACTTATTTTTTAGAGATTTTTGTAATAGACAGAATCTAATATGCAGAATCGTGTGGTTAAAAGGCATTCTCAGAATATGAAGGAAACTGCCTGCCATAGAGGCAGGGGGTGGGGTGGAGTCGGGGTGGCAGGAGGGATACTAGGGACATTGGTGGTAGGATGAGTGTGGGATCGTTGTATGACTGAAATGCAATCATGAAAGTTTTGTGACTATATCTCATAGTGATTCCATTTAAAAAAATTTTTTTAAAAATCATTCTCTCTGGAACCAGGAATGTGACTCAAGTAGTATAGCACTTGCCTTCCTTGTGTGAGGCCCTGGGTTTGATTCCTAGCATCTCCCACTCCCTTGAGCTCTTCCGGGGGCAACTCCCCAGCAGTGAGCTAGAAGGAGTCCCTGAGCATAGCCAACTGTGCTCCCCACCATAAAACATTTTTTCAAATTTTACAGGAAATAAGGGGTGAGACACATGCTAGGGGGAAAGGGAGCTCAGATAGAGAAGGGAGCACCAAATAAAGGGTGTTGGGAGGATCCTCCCAGGATGGGAGAAGCATGCTGAAAGTAGACTATAGACCGAACATGATTGCCACCCAATGCCTCTTTTGCAAACCACAACACCCAAAAGGAGAGAGAGAACAAAAGGGAATCCCTGCCACAGAGGCAGGGTGGGATGAGGGGATGGGGGGTGGGAGGGATACTGGGATCCATGGTGGTGGGAAATGGGCACTGGTGGAGGGATGGGTACTTCATCATTGTATAATTGAAACCCAAGCACAGAAATTTGTAAGTCTACAACTGTACCCCATGATGTCTCACTAATAAAAATTTTTAAAAAATAATGATGAACAAATGTTAATAGATGAATATATTTCAAACAATAAATTTCAAAAAAAGAAATGAGGGATAAGAACACTAACCTGCAATAGGTTACTAAAGAAGTCCTATGTATCCAATATACAATATGTTGTATATAGGCCTAAATATTGTGCCAGAAGTAGATGAGTGGCAAATACTGTTACAACAACCATATTACAAAGCATAGATGTATTGAAATTAACGGTGGTACACCTTAAACATAAACATAATGTTACCACTGATTGATCCAATTTTAAAAACATAGTAGTATAAATAGAAATTGTTCCATTTGGGGCCGGAGTGATAGCACAGTAGGTAGGGCGTTTGCCCTGCATGCGGCCGACCCGGGTTCAATTCCCAGCATCCCATATTGGTCCCCTGAGCACAGCCAGGGATAATTCCTGAGTGCAAAGCCAGGAATAACCCCCGAGCATCGCTGGGTGTGACCCAAAAAGCAAAAAAAAAAAAAAAAAAAAAAAATATTGTTCCATTAAAGAATTATGCATGTACGTATGGTTGCATTTATAGGAAATGTTCAAAATGGACAAAAATAGCAGATCAGAAGTAAATCTGTGGTTTCCAGGGACTGGGGAAAGAGAGATGGGAAATAACTACTAATGGGTGTGGGATTTCTTTATGGTGGGGCATGATGAATGTATTCCAAAATTAGCTAGAGATATCATTAGTACAACTACATATACTAAAATCGTATGAAATCTTACAATTCAGTATTTTCAAATACATTTGAAATGGACATATTTCATATGAAAATGCTGAATTGTAAGTTTTAAGGGAAGTGTGAGGTTTTTTTTGTTTGTTTGTTTTTTATTAGTGAGACACCATGAGGTACAGTTGCAGACTTACACATTTTTGTGCTTGGGTTTCGATTATACAATGATCAAATACCCATCCCTCCACCGGTGCCCATTTCCCACCACCACGGATCCCAGTATCCCTCCCACCCCCCATCCCCTCCCATCCCACCCTGCCTCTGTGGCAGGGCATTTAAGGGAAGTGTGAGTTTTATGTGAGGCCAGTACTAAGAAAAGGATTTTGAGAAGAGCTTAAAAACTAAGCTGAAACCATCTTTTTAATGGAAATAATATTGGTTTACTGGTGCCCGCTTGGGCAAATCGATGAACAATGGGAGTACAGTGCTACCGTGCAACATTATGTAGGCTTCAGGTAGTACAACATTTTAAATAAACACCTTAACTCACCTACCCACTTTCTCTTTCTCCTCTGGTAACCATATTTTATTCTTACAGTCTTATAGTTTGTTTTATTAGTTCATTTGTTTCATTGTTTTAGCCGTAGAAAATGAATAAAATCATACTTTATTTATTTCATTGTTTAATACCATCCTTTTGGGGGATAGAGGGGTCATGAGGACGTACCGGAAGTGCTCAGGATTCACTCCTGGCTCCGTGTTCGGGGATAAAATCCAGGTTGACTGCATGCAAGGCAAAAGCCCTGCCTGATGTACTATCTACCCCTCCCACCCCTCTGCATTCTTTTTTTTTTTTCCTTTTTGGGTCACACCCGGCGATGCACAGGAGTTACTCCTGGTTCCTGCACTCAGGAATTACTCCTGGCAGTGCTTGGGGGACCGTATGGGATGCTGGGAATCGAACCTAGGTCGGCTGCGTGCAAAGCAAACACCCTACCCACTGTGCTATTGCTCCAGCCACCCCCCCCCCCCCCACACACACACTGCATTCTTGATGTTGCAAATGGCAGGTGTTTCTTAGTTTCTATAAATGAGTACTGAAATCAGTTTTATAGTCACATAGCTTTTCCAAGATTTGTAAAATCTACAGTTGGTATATTTTATGTCGATTGTTTTTTCTGTTTTAAGGTGTAATTGGAATTATTTGGTTTATCTTCTGGATCTGCTTAACTAGCGAAACACCAGAAACTCATAAGACAATCTCCCAATATGAAAAAGAATACATTCTTTCATCATTAAGAAATCAGGTAAAGACTTTTAAGATATCTTTAAAATAATTTTGGAACCTTATTCAGTGTTACGATAATAATTTTCAGAATCAGTATTGTGTGTGTGTGTGTGTGTGTGTGCGCGCGCTCATGCATGTGCTTCAGACAAAATAGAGCAAGCAAGTGAAATATGTGAGTTAAGATTTGTTATTATATCTGAGAGAATTCAAATTCTTTCAAAATAAAAATCTGAAAATTGGGGCCCGAAAGATGGTACAAGAGGTAGGGCATTTGCCTTGCAAGCTGCTGACCAGGCTTCAGTCCCTGGAACTGCATACGGTCCCCTAAGTCTGCCAGAAGTATGCCCTGATCACAGCCCACCCCCAAAAATATGAAAATTAGTCCAGAAGGGTTAAAGCATCTTAACCACCCTGTGACCAGCTCTGATTCAATTCTCAGCACCACATGAAACCCCCTCCCCCGCCGCCCGCCCCCAGTACTGCCAGGTATAGCTCAACCCCTCACCCGAAACTAACCTGAAAATTATATTCCTCGGTCATTTTGTAATTATGTTTCTCAATCATTCTAGAGTAATTATTCAGAAATGAGTCTTGCTTGTTACTTAATTAGCAGAAAAATAAGTATGTTATTTCTATAAGAAATCATTTTTTGTCTGAGGGCTTCCCAAGCAATGCTCAGGGAGCCTGGGAGCCCACTCCCTGTACCCAGCAACACTCAGTGGGGCTGTGCAGACCACAGGGTTCACAGCTCCGGTGGGTGATGCAGCGCTGCTCAAGGGCCTGTGAAGCCACCCCCAGCAGTACAGGGGCGGGGGTGGAGGGCGGGGGGTTAAGATATGTGACAGGGATCAAACTTGGGCCAGACCCTTGGGTTAGGGAGCTGGAGCGATAGCACAGTGGGGAGGGCATTTGCATTGCATACGGCCAACCCGGGTTCAACTCCCAGCATCCCATATGGTCCCCCGAGCACCTCCAGGAGTAATTCCCGAGTGCATGAGCCAGGAGTAACCCCTGTGCATTGCCAGGTGTGACCCAAAAAGCAGAACCTAGGGTTATCTCACAACTGGATTCTGAATATTGCTAGAAAACTAATAGGCCTTTGTTTAAATTTTAAATGCACATGATTTTAAGCATTTTAAGCATTGCCAGGGTGGACCTACCCCTCACCCCTACCCAAAAAATAGGAGTATAGCATCTTTTGGACTTTGGACTTTAAAGGGCTTGGCAATTTAATGAAGTGACTTTGAATGCTGGGATGTAGCTCAGTGGCAGAGCACAAGCCTCTAATGATTACTCTGGGGTATTATATAACTTCAGGGTTTTTGACGAGTTGGTTGATTTTTTTTTCCCCCTTTTTAAGCTTTGTTTTAAATTAGTAAGGTCAATCCAACTCTTAAGCATTTTTGTTTTACTCAGTAGATCTGCAGGAGAGAAGTCTATAATTTTGAATTGTCAAATGCCATTTTTGAAAGATTGCTAGACTAGAGAAACCACTATCCCATATAAGAATAAATTGTTCTCGGGGCTGGGGCAATAGCACAGCGGGTAGGGCGTTTGCCTTGCATGCGGCCAACCCAGGTTCGATTCCCAGCATCCCATATGGTCCCCAGAGCACCGCCAGGGGTGATTCCTGAGTGCAGAGCCAGGAGTAATCCCTGTGCATTATTATTAAGAAAAAAATAAATAGTCCGGGAACTGAAAGATGGCTCCCAGGCTTAACCTTGCAGGGCTGTGAGTAAGGGCTAAGGTGACCCTGAGAGCCCTCCTGACAGGTTTCCCCAGGCAGGCTGAGTTCGAGACTGCGCTTAATCTCAGGCACACACATGTGCTAAAGCAGTCCTCACATCCCCATGGGCTGGGCTCCCCAGAAAGGGACACAGGGGACTGAAATTCCGGTTTGATAATCAGCACTGTAGCACTGTCCTCCCATTGTTCATAGATTTGCTCGAGGTTTATAAATGATCCCTGTGACAATCTGAATATATATAGTGATTCATAAATTATTTTCATGAGTTGCTATACTTACTTACATCTCCAAACAGAACAGTAAAAATTCTAAGCATACATAAAATGAACTTAATAGTATATTCTCACATTCTGTTTACCTTTTCCTGTTGTTGCAGAGGCCTTTCGAACTGCCACCTGGGTCAGAGAGGGAACTGAGAGGCCATGAGAGGCAGTGTCAGGGAGGAACTCACACTTGCAAAGCCTGTGCCCTAGTAGTACATTTCAGTAGGAAAGCAGCCTTATCACTTAAAGTTATTTAAAATCATGTTGTTTAATGGTGGTAGTGTGCTTGAATTTGGTGTATACCATGAGCCTGCTCAGGCATGTAATAAAGAGTTGATTGAGGGCCGGAATGGTAGTACAGTGGGTAGGGCACTTGACTTCCACACAGCTGACCCAGGTTCAATCCCGGGACACCATAGGTCCCCCAAGCCTACCACACTAAGCCCTGAGCACCTCTGGGCATGACCCAAAACAAACAAAAGAGAGTTTATGTGAGACAAATTGTGGTACAGTACTAGATACTCTTCTATTGACTTTCTCTATAGGGATCTTGTTAAGGCACTTGATTTTATGAGATATATTTTAATTAAAGTTACCTAATAAAGTAAGTCTACCAAAAAAGACAGGCATGGACTGTAACGTACTTACGGGTAAAGCAGCCAGTGAGGGTACCAATGCCTTTTGAATCAGAGACCTCAAACAGTATGGGACTCTTACTATATTTCAGGGCCAACCTATTTCTTAAACGTTACTAGAGTTTAATTAATTTATTTGTGGGGTCATGTGAGGCACACCCAGTGGTGCTCAGTCACTAATCCAAGCCCAGTTAATGTGTGTGGGGGGGGAGGGGTGTTGCAGTGATCCTGGCAGTGTTCTGGGGCCCACACAATGCTAGGGATTGGACTGGGATAGGCCACAAGCAAGGCCTTAGCTCCTGTACAAACTCTTGGCCCTAATTTATTTTTCATAAAATAAAAATAGCTTTACTTTTCATAGAATAAAAAATGCATTTCCTTTTTTTGGAATAAAAATAAGTATAGATCAAAATTCTGATGTGTTGTTCTGTAGCTCAGTAAAATCATCTTGCGTGTCCCTGGTTTTCCCACCTTTCAAGTCTATGATGCCAAATGCCTGAATTTAAAAGTCCTCTAAAGATTATGCACAGTTCTTATAAATCATTGTAACTGAATCAGAGTGTGATAATGAAATATAAATTCTAAAAGACTTCTAATCTCTTTCTTTTTTCCCTTATGTTAACCTTTGAATTTCATTATGAAACTATTCTCTCTAAAAGAAAAAATTAGTACCACAGGGGACTTTTGGCACCGAGTATTTAGGGTTGATACTATAGTGAAGATTACTTTTCTGGTAGAGTTCATGCAAAATTCAATCAGCCTAATCAGTGGCTGAATAAATAGCAGTACCTCCTACATAAAAAATAAATAAATAAGATTACTTTTCTAATTTTTCCTCTAAATCATGGACTCTAATATGTAATATATATGTAATTTTTAATATATTTATTTATTGAATCACTGTGGGAAAAGTTACAAAGCTTTCATGTTTAAGTCTCAGTCATGTAATGATCAAACACCTTTCCCTTCATCAGTACTTATTTTTCACCACCAAGAACACCAATATACCCCCCTTCCACTCCTCCCAATGCCTGTGAGGTAGATGAATTCTACTTAACTCTCTATCTACTTTGATTACATTCATTATTTAGACAAAAGATACACCATTATTGTTTAGAGTTTGCACCCAACAATCAGAACTGCTGAAAAGACACTGTGAAATAATTTGTTTTCTATAGCTGGTTATGAGAACCAAATGATTTCGGATTTCTGATATTTTACTTATTAAGTCTGGAGGGATTTCTGCCAAGAGCCGGATAATTACGAGATTGGTTTCTGTGGCTCTGGAGCCTGGCCATGCTGAAGAGCCTCTCGTGGGGGGCAACTTGTGTCCTCGGTAGGGTGTGAAGGATGAGCCCGGAATGCCCCCCTTCCTGTGAGGTTGCAGTTGCCCCATCACCACTGGCTCATACCTGACTTTCCAATAAGCTCTGAGGTGGCTGCCATCTTGCTGCCCAGGGGGAAAAAGGCGGAAGGGAGTGACACCCCTTCCCTCCCGGGGAGGCATGGTATTGTGGATTAACGTATAGTCCATTCGCTTTTCTGCCGCAAGCTGCTGGGCTCTGCATTAAGTCCTTGTGCCTCTGGAGTCATGGTCATGCTCGTGGGGTACAACTCGTGGCCTCTGTAGGGCATGAAGGACGAGCCCAGAACAACCCCCTATATATGTAATTTTTTAATCAAACCCATTTTCAAGTATTTTTCTGACTAATATATATAAGAGACTTAATTTACCTCATGGGAAGGGGGGTGTTCCCTTGGGAAGGGAACATGGGAAGGGGCTCGTCCTTCACGCCCTACCAAGGTCATGAGTTGCCCCCCAAGCGGCTCTCTGGCACGGCCATGGCTCCAGAGGCACAAGGACTTAATCCAGAACCCGGCAGCTTGTGGCAGAAAAGTGAATGGACCATGTGTTAAACTATGGCACCATGCCTCCCTGGGAGGGAAAGGGTGTCACTCCCTCCCACTTTTTTTCACCCCCAGCAGCAAGGTGGCTGCCACCTCAGAGCTTATTGAAAAGCCAGGTATGAGCCAGCAATGACAGGAAAACTGCAACCTCATGGGAAAGTGGGGGGCGGGGGGCGGTACCAGCTCGTCCTTCATGCCCTACCGAGGTCACAAGTTGCCCCCCACAAGTGGCTCTCCGGCACGGCCATAACACCAGATGCACAGAAACCAATCTTGTAATTATCTGGCTCTTGGCAGAAATCCCTCCAGACTTAACTAGTAAAATATCAGAAATTCAAAATCGCGCAACTGATATGGTACCCTTATGGCCGATATATCATATGGTTCTCATAACCAGCTATAGAAAACAAATTATTTCTCAGTACTTTTCAGCAGTTCTGATTGTTGGGGGGACATTTTAAAGAATAATGGTGCATCTTTTGTCGAAGTAATGAATGTAGTCAAAATAGAGAGAGAGTTAAGTAGAAATCATCTGCCTCACAGGCATTGGGAGGGGTGGGAGTGGGGGTATACTGGGGTTCTTGGTGGTGAAAAATGAGTACTGGTGAAGGGAAAGGTGTTTGATCATTGATGACGAGACTTAATCTTGAAAGCTTTGTAACTTTTCCCACAGTGGTTCAATAAATAAATATAACAAAAAAAAGAGAGAGAGAGACTTAATTTAGGAATCTCTAGTTTAATAATCACAGCTGATGATGTTTTCTAAATTGAATTTTAGCTTACAGTTTACAAAATAGAATATAGCCTAAACAGTGCCAGGGTATGACTCAGTGGTAGACATATCTGGTGTGTGTGAGACCCTAAGTTAGAGCCCCATCACTAAAAATTATATGTACATATATATTCTTATCCATAATACATATCCTAATTGTATCTGGTTGTTTTGTTTTGCTTGGTTTTCAGCTTTCTTCACAGAAGTCAGTCCCATGGATACCCATGCTAAAGTCACTGCCACTTTGGGCTATTGTAGTGGCCCATTTTTCTTCCAACTGGACTTTTTATACTCTACTGACATTGTTGCCTACTTACATGAATGAGATATTGAGGTTCAATATTCAGGAGGTAAGAAAAAAATAATCATCTGCTATTTATATATATTTTTTTGCTATTTATATATTTTAAACTCCAAACTTGTCTATATAAAATTGTACCTCAGAGTTGTTCCTTTTCTTAAGTTATCTTTTAGCTGGGATCTCTTTTCACTCTAAAGGTCTTCCTAGTCCTTAGGAATAGGACATAAGACAACAATTCAAGTGGTACCAATGCTTGCTACTAAATGATAAAAATTATGGTAGCAAAATGTGTGTAGTTATTGGTATGATAACTTGAATTTGTTACCGTAAATTTAGATGTTATTTTTAACTTCTGAGTGGCCATTAAGAAATTAAATTAAATGTGGGCTAGAGTGATAGATAGTACAGTGGGTAGAGTGTTTGTCTTGCACACAGCCAGCCAGAATTCTATCCCCAGCATCTCATGTGTTCCCCAAAGCACCACCAGAAGTAATTCCTGAGTGCCGAGCCAGAAATGACCCTGAACATCACCAGGTGTGGCCAAAAAAAAGAAAGAAAATAAATTAACTAAAACACATTATCAATGAAGAGCTGAGCTGGGGATATAGAACATTCTTCATACGTGTTAGGCTCTGAATTCTATCCAGCACTACCAAAAAAGAAAAGATGCTTAAGACCTAAAATGAATGAGCTGAGTGTATGGAACTCTGAGATAAAACATGTCTTTGTGACCTTGAACTCATCAACGGTTTCTTTTTCCTCTTTCCCTTCCCTTTGGTGGGATGACCAGCACTCCCACACACATCTGCAGTGCCCACTCAGCATTTGTACTTGTTGGGAGTCACATCTGGCAGACGTACACTGCAGACTACACACTTACAAGGCACATGCTCTACTATTGAGTCACATCCCTGAATTTGGCAACAATTTTTTAAACATAACCCCCCTCTCTTCCCCTTTCCCCCCCGAACTGCACCACAACCTCAAGCCCTTACTTGGCCACCAGTGACCAGTGGGGTCCCCAGACCTCCCAAACACTGCTAGGGAAGTGAAAACAAAAAATTTTTTTTTCCCTTTTTGGGTCACACCCGGCGATGCACAGGGGTTACTCCTGGTTCTGCACAAAGGAATCACCCCTGGCGGTGCTCAGGGGACCATATGGGATGCTGGGAATCGAACCCGGGTCGGCTGCGTGCAAGGCAAACGCCCTATCCACTGTGCTATTGCTCCAGCCCCCGGGAAGTAAAAAAAAATTTTTTAATTAAAATAACACCAAATACAAGTGACTAAAGAAAAAAATTAGTAAATTTTAACATTTTGTGCATCAGAGGATTATCCTGAGTGAAAAGGGGAGAAAACACTTGAAAATCTTAGGTCTCATAAGGGTATTTTATCAAAATCTGTTATGAGCCCAATAATAAAAAGACAGCACCATTTTTTAAATAGGCAGTGGGGTTTTTTGTTGTGTATTTTTGTTTTGTTTTTGGACCCCACCCTGTGATGCTCAGGAGTTACTGCTGGTGGTGCTCAGGGGACCATATTGGAAGCAGAGACCAAACCCAGGAGAGCCGCCCAAGTAGGCTGCATGCTAGGCAAGTGCCCTACCCACTGTACTATCTCTCCAGCCTTGGCAGTGGTTTTAAACAGGCCTTTCTCCAAAGAGGATATACAGACGTGGGCTGGAGAACATGCCTGGCTCGCACAGGGCCCCCCACCCCCATTCAATTTCTGATACCACGTGGTCTCCCAAGCAATCAGGTGTAGCCCTAGTCTTCCTTCTCCATGTGAACACATAAAATAAAACAACAGCTACAACATAAAGATGTGCATATGGCCAGTAAGCACAGGTGACGGTGCTGAGCACCCTTAGTCATAGAGAAAGGCAAATCAAAGTTGTGAGTGACCACCCTAGATCTATTGAAATTGCAAGAGGCCAGGAGGGGGCTCATTATCCTGGCACCCATCCTGCAAGTATGGCCTTTGGTACCCTGTCACAGAAGTGCTTGAAAGCACCGCACTAGTGAGTACCACAGAGCATATGAGCACTGCCACTAAGTGTGTGACCCCAACACCACAAGACACATGCAACTCCCAGACACCACACCAAGTACAACCTTCCCCGGCTCTACCACCACAATAAACACAAGTGCCGGTGAGGATGTACAGGCATGGTAACCTCCATACGTTCTCTGTCCATTGCCATAGTGAAATAAAATGGTATAGCTGCTATGGAAAACAATCCCTCGAACAGTCCAAGATAAAATTGTGACCCAGCGATTCCATTTCTAGCTGTACCCGCAAGAGAATAGAAAACCAGCCCCCACAAAAACATACACACTGTGGTTTCTCCTTAGATTAGTTGGAGACTGAACTTTAATCTGCTATTTTAATACTGTCATTATCTTTATTTTTCTATATGAGAATAAAACTATAGCATTCCTTACCTGGTGCAAATCCAAACAAAACATGAAAACACACAGTAAATGGCCATCACCTCAGCAAACGAGATGTTGAGAATGTGTACAATAGTGATACAATGTGGTTGTTGTAATCAGATTAAGTAGGCATTGGATGAATTTAAATATTGGCTAATTGTCTGAATCAAGTCTACTGAGGAATAAAATTTAAACAGACATTGCCTAGTTTTCTGAATAAAGTTCCCAACGATTAAAAAAAAATATATATATATATATATCACAAGATCACAGGCATCCTGTTGTTTGTCGATTTCCTCGAGCAGGCACCTGTAACGTCTCCTTCTTCCTAGCCCTGAGATTTTAAAAGAGCCATTTCAATGCTCTTTCAGGATTAGGAGAATGAGACCCACCATTGTTACTGGTATTTGGCATATTGAGTACGACACGGAAAGTTTGCCAGACTCTGCCGTGCAGGCAGGATACTTTTGGTAGCCTGCCAGGTTCTCCAAAGGAAAAAATAAGATGTCGTGCAGCCGCAAATGCGGCCGCGCGCTTCCGGGAGCTGGGTTTTATAGTCTCTGCATCCTGGCCGTTGATAGGACCAACCTGGCGCTGGCAGCAGCTGGTGGGTGTGATGCCTACCTACTGGAAGATGGGGGACCTGGATGGAGAAGGCCCAGTCCCAATCCGAGTAGGCTTGGAGACCTCAGCCCGGGACCCACATGCCTGGGTTCCTCTGCCAGTTCTTTCATGCATGAGGCCCGTCCAGATGTGTGGAGAGTGGTTCCAGCATGGCCGTGGCTGGCTCTGGAGGTCCTCAGCCGCTGGGGCTCTACTCAGGGTGGGGGTGGGGGGGAGAGAGAAACTCAACCCTCCCCCCTCCAAGGGGCCCCCGGTGAGGACAGCCAGGCACGGGGGCAGGAGACTCTATCATATTTATAATGGCATAAACATGCCATGGCCTGTTCCACAGAGTGCAAGAGCCATGAACGAAACAGGGCAGCTTGAGTGGCAAATGTCAAGGCAGCAAAGCACAGCGGCACTGATAACCACAGGAATTTACCAAGTCAACACTGTTGAAGTGACTCCTCAGTCACCTGTCTTTCAAGTCAGACTGGAAAACATTGGCCAGTGGCTGTGGAAATAGCTCAGCAGTCTGAGCACATGATTGGCATGTTGAAGGCCTCAGCATCACATGGTCCCAGAAGCACCACAGGAAGCACAGCCCCTGCCCCGTATCAAGCACCTCCCAGTGTGGCCCAAAAACAAACAAACCAAAACGAGCTACAAAACCAAGCCTCAGATGCCACCCAGCCAGCTACTCTGGATTAGTTTTGAAAAGCAAGATCAGTTAAACCAAAATACAACAACTCAATGGATGGTGTATAAGCTGAGTGAGACTTTGACGGTAGTTTGGGATGTGTTTGTGTGAGCAACCTTGTTTTTTTTTCTAATCTGTTATTGGAACCTGTCATCTTCTGCTGTGGCGATGAATTGCATGCGAATTTATGATTGTTCCACAGATATCGAAAATTTTTCTAGGAGATGATGGAAAGCATAAAATATCAATAACTGCCAATAACTAGTACTGTGTACTTAATGACCTTCGTTTTTCAGTTGTTCTCAAGTTCTGCAGTGAAATACTTTAATACAAGATTCTTGTTCTTACATTTACATACCAAAGAGACATTTTAATTTCTCAATCAAAATTAAAAGATGTACAGGGGCTAGAATGATAGCACAGTGGGTAAGGTGCCTTGCACGCGGCCGACCAGGGTTCGATTCCCAGCATCCCATATGGTCCCCTGAACACCGCCAGGGTAATTCTTGAGTGCAGAGCCAGGAGTAATCCCTGTGCATCGCCGGGTGTCACCCCAAAAAGCAAAAAAAAAAAAAAAAATTAAAAGATGTACAAAATTTGAAATTCTCTACTCTTACAGGATCCCTTTCAAATGAATGTTTTGGGGATTGGAGCAATAGCACAGCGGGTAGGGCATTTGCCTTGCACGTGGCTGACCCAGACTCAATTCCCAGCATCCCATATGGTTCCTTGAGCACCTCCAGGAATAATTCCTGAATGCAGAGCCAGGAGTAACCCCTGTGCATCACTGGTTGTGACCCAAAAAGAAAAAAAAAAGGAATGTTTTGGAGGCTGGGAAGATAGCTCAGAGGACTGGAGTGCATGCTTTGCAGGCTTCAACCCAGGTTTGAGCCCCTGCAGTCCACGATCACCACTGGAAGTAGCCCTGAGCACTGAGCTGGAAATTGCTCCTGAACACTGCAAAATACAGCCCCCAAATCAAAACAAAATGGATATTTTTCCTTTTTATAATTCCTCTTTTTATTACAGTTTAGGTATCATGGTTCCAGTGGTGTCTGTGTTTATGGTTCTAAGGTATAAAGTTACTGCGAATGCTTAAGATCTTCACCACGTCACTAATGCCACCTCTAGACCACCATGGACTTTTGTTGTTGTTGTTGCTGTTGTTTGGTTTTGGGTTGGCCATACCCAACAATGCTCAGGGGTTACTCCTGGCTTTGCACTCAGGAATCACTCCTGGTGGTGCTCGGGGAACCATATGGGATGTTGGGAATCGAACCCAGGTCAGCCACACTCAAGGCATCATTCCATCCCCTGGGTTGTTTTGTTTTGTTTTGTTTCGTCTTTAGCAAATACTCTACATCCTTGAAATAGCCCTTGAGTGAAGCTGGCTTGGGATTTGCTGAAGTGTAGCATGCCCACACGTGCCCACCACAGCAAGTGTGGGGTTTGGGGTGACACAGCCATGTTTCCTCAAGCACATGATGGAAAAGCATGACCCCCTCATGAGTATCACAGCTGGAAAATGCACCAGCCCCTTGAGCACCACAATTAGAGTTTCGCCCTCAGCAAGCATGACAAGTGTGTGAGCTCCTCCCCGTCATAGCTCCAAAAAGCAACAAAGGGGGAAGGGACAAGATGGGAGCTGAGGGCAGAGACAAAAGATAAAGCTTGCTTGATACACTCTTTTTAAAGTCATCTCAGTAATTTAAAACATTAAGACCCTTCGTTCTTCATTATAAACTTGCCTTTTCATATGTTTTGTTTGATTATCCTGGCCTCTCATTTTGTTCCAGTTTAGTGAAGTTACGACATCCTTCTTTCACTGTGATTGTTGTCGCGTTGCTGAGCATTGAACCCAGGCCTCACCCATGCAAGCCAAGTGCCTTACCACAGAGTCACATCCTCAGCTCTTACTCCCTCTCTTTCACCACTCAGAGTTGGGGTGATATCTATTACTCTATTTTGGATATGAACAGTTTTGAATTTTTTTTTAAAGGCAAGGAGTCATTTCCTTAAACTGAGATTTGTGAAAGATGTCCATGGGATGGATAAATGTTGCTAGTTCAATGGTTTTCATTGTTAGGGAACTTTTAGCATTGATTCTCTCTGAGACAACCTCTTTAGGAATGTACTGAACTGAATCGCATCATCTTTCTGAGAACAACCTTAGGTACTATCACTACAGACAAATTAACAGTATGTAATTTGGTGTTTCCTGTCTTCCAGTGGTTAGCGGATGTGTGGAGGTTTAAGTTATTTTAGCCTTTCCTCCCACTATAATTAATACTTTGTCTTGACATACTTCCAGAATGGGGTCTTATCTGCAGTGCCTTATTTTGGCTGTTGGGTGTGCATGATCCTGTCTGGTCAACTTGCTGACAATTTAAGGGCAAAATGGAATTTTTCCACAATATGTGTTCGAAGAACTTTTACACTTATAGGTAAGTGATGTGAATGTGGTTTATGTTTTGGTTTATAATTATTTACTGTGCTTGCTATATGAAGAAAAATTAATATTATTTATTTTATCTACATATTTAGGTTTTGTTGTGTTGTTGTTTATTTTTGGGTCACACCCAGAGATACACAGGGGTTACTCCTGGCTTATGCACACAGGAATTATTCCTGGCGGTGCTCGGGGGACCACATGGGATGCTGGGAATCGATCCTGGGTCAGCTGCATACAAGGCAAACGCCCTACCCATTGTGCTATCGCTCCAGCCCCTACATATTTAGTTTAAATAGTGCTTTATTTAAATAGTGTTTTTATTTAAATAAAATTTTATTTGAATTATTAAACTCTCTAAATGTTACTTTTTATGCAAGATGGTTCTTTCCAAACCTTACACTTTAAATATTAATATTGTTAATGCCTATTACCTTAACCACAGCATTTAAAAAAATGGCTTTTATAAATATCATCCTAGAATATTATAAATCACTTTATTTGTAAAATCTAAGTTTACAATAGTGATAGTATTTTAAGTCGTCGTCCCTTTCAGAAGTAAATACATCTTTAATTTCAGTCCTAAAATTTAACATGTCAGAAGTTATCACATTATATCATATTAGAAAGCTCAAAGGAACTATAAATAATCTGCATTTCAGACACTTCTCTCAGGTCAATTTTAAAGCTACCCGGGGGTCAGAGTGATAGTACAGCAGGGAGGGCGTTTGCCCTGCGCCCTGCACACCAACGACCTGAGTTTGAACCCCAGCATCCCCTATGGTCCCCTGAGCACCACTAGGAGTAATTCCTGAGTGCAGAACCAGGAATAACACCAGAGCATCTCTGAGTGTGACCCAAAAGAGCCCCCCCCCAAAAAATAAATAAAATTTTTAAATCGCTCCAGCCCATGACGTATTCGATATGCCAAACACAGTAACAACAAAGTCTCACAATGGAAATGTTACTGGGCCTGCTCGAGAAAATCGATGAACAACGGGAGGACAGTGCCACAGTGCCAAAATTTTTAAAAGACAAAAAAAAAAAAAAATTTAAAAAAAACTATCTAGGATAGTTACTCTGTTTTCTTAAAGCTCTCCCCAGGAAGTTGCTGATTTAGTGATTGCATTGTAAAAGAACCCTAGTCAGTGTAACTGCAAACACCTTCCTAGTATTTTTGTGCCACATCCAGCAGTGCTCAGAGGCTTTCTTCTGGCTCTGTGCTCCTCGATCACTCCTGGTGGGCTTAAGGGACCATGTGGAGTGCTATGGATTGAACCTGAGGTCCGTTACATGCAGGAAGCACCCCTACCATTGTAATACCTCTCTGGCCCCTTGACTCACTCAAAGACAAACAAATGGAGCTGGGGAGATGGCTCAATGGATGAGCTCATGCTAGGCATGTGGGAGACCTTGATTTCATCCAGACACCACATGCTTTCCCAGACATGCCAGCAGTGGCCCTCACGCACAAAGCCAGGACTTGCCCTTGAGCACCCAAAAGGTATAACCCCAAAACAAAAACAAACAGAGAAGAAGAAGAAAGATAGAAAAAGGAAAAGAGGGGTGGAAGAATAAGGAAAAGGGACTGGAGAGATAGTACAGATGTCCAAGGTGTTTGCTTTGGACACATCCAACCAGGTTTGATCTTCAACACCCTATATGGTCCCTCCACTTCCTTCTAAGAGTGATCCCTGAGCACAGAGCCAGGAATAAGTCCGAGCACAGACTGGCAGGTGTGAGGCCCTGGGTGATCCCTGGCATCTCACACACACAAACTTAGTAAGTAAAATACGTGCCTTTAGATCCAGTCGGGGGGCTGGAGCGATAGCACCGCGGGTAGGGCGTTTGCCTTGCATGCGGCTGACCTGGGTTCGATTCCCAGCATCCCATATGGTCCCCTGAGCAGCGCCAGGAGTAATTCTGGAGTGCAGAGTCAGGAGTAACCCCTGAGCATCTCCGGGTGTGACCCAAAAAGGAAAAAAAAAAGATCCAGTCTGGTTTTCTGTTGGTGCGGAGAGGGTAGGAGAGAGGAGGTGAGAAAGCTGTTGTATCCAACTAATCATATATGGCTATTTTATATGGCAGCCACTAATCATATATGGCTATTTAAATTTAATTGAAATAAAAATGTAAGTTTCTCCACTTACCATATACAGCATTCTCATGATCACCAAGAATGGTCTGTAGATAGCTATTATTGAATAGCCTTGCTATATACAGAAGCTCTGGGTTCAATGCTTGGTACCAACTGGTTCCCCAAGAACTGGTGGGTGAACCTCCAAAACCAAAATAAATAACATTTTAAAACCTACCTACTAATTAAGTCCTTTCCTGTGACTTAGACCTTATGCTTACCTTAATAAATTATGTATGTGTCATACACAATCATAAGACCCAAACACAATGTTTTTCTAACTTAACATAGCTTGTTATTTAGTTTGTTATCTTTGGTCTTATGATATTTATTTAATGACAGTCTTTCATCAACTATTGCTTCTCTGTAGAATATATTTTATAGCCAGTCTTTTCTTCCTCTTTCTTTTCTCCAGCCTAGAACTTTAGCTGAGTCCTGCTCATGTGTAGATTAAGTAACACTGTATAATGAGATTTTTTTCCTTTTATTTTTATATTACTTACATTGTGCCTATATTTTCATTTTCTTTCTGTTTTGGGGGAATGTATGGTGCCAGAAATTGAACCAGGACCCCCCCCTTTTTCTTTTTCTTTTTTTTTTTTATGTTTTTGGTTTGGGAGGTTTTTGTTGGTGGTGATAGCGGTGGAGGGTATTTTTGTTTTGTTTTGTTTTTGTTTTTGCTTTTTGGGTCACACCCGGCGATGCACAGGGGTTAACTCCTGGCTCTGCACTCAGGAATTACTCCTGGCGAATTACTCAGGGGACCATACGGGTTGCTGGGAATCGAACCTGGGTCGGCCACATGCAAGGCAAACGCCCTACCCGCTGTGCTATCACGCCAGCCCCGCAGTGGTGCTTATTTCTTTCAGTTTTTGGCCACACCTGTTGAGAACCTTATATGCAAGCTAGGGATTCGAACCCAGGGCAACCACCATGCAAGCCTCTTACCCTCTTCACTGTCTCTCTCAATTCTTTAGTAATTTTTAATGAAATGCTACAATTTAGAGTCTTAAGGCAATACAATGTTTTGACACTAGGTGGCAATGGTATCAAACATTAGGCTTAAACTATACTAAGACATACAACGGAAATAACTCTCTGGTTTCCCCTCCCGACTTTCAATTCCAGGAATGATTGGGCCTGCAGTGTTCCTCATAGCTGCTGGATATATTGGCTGCAATTATTCTCTGGCTGTAGCATTCCTAAGTATATCAACAACTCTGGCAGGCTTTTGCTCTTCTGGATTTAGCATCAACCATCTGGATATTGCTCCTTCGTGAGTACTAACATAAAATATTTGCTGTGATTTATTTTTAATTCTTTTTTTTAATGTGGTAAAATAAACAGGACATAAAAATGTACTGTTTTAACCATTTTAAATGTATAAATTATATGGATTTAAGTTCCTCTACATTCTTTTGTAACCTGTTCAAATCCCTTTATTCTTGACCCCTGCAAACCTCAGTTTTACTTTCTGCCTTCACTTTCTGAATTAAACTATGCTAACTCCTTTAGCAGAATTTCAGTTTATACAGTGACTAAAGCTTGACTTTTGGGGCCAGAGCAATAGTACAGCAGGTAAGATATTTATTTGCCTTGTACATGGCTGACCCTGATTTGATCCCCAGTACCCCATACGGTCCCCCGAGAATCAGCAGGAGTAATTTCCGAGTGCAGAGCCAGGACCCCTGAGCATTGCTGGGTGTGACCAAAATAAAAAACCTTTGACTTTTAAAAATTTGCACTTTTAACTCATGACCCCTGTCCACAGTGTTTCCAGATAACAATCTATAGAACCCCTTATGATTTGTACGTGTCTGCAATAAAAGTAGGAATTCTAGGAAGGCGGAGACTCTTATCTTCAGGGCTCACCGTGATACAGGGCAGCAGTGACGCTTGAGTTGGAGGGAAAAACACTGGAGACCAATGTGTAACTTTGCTTGCCTTAGCAGGGTAGCTTACAAGTCACTTACTTTCACAAACATTATCTCATTTGAGCCTTACAGCGATCCTCTGAGGTACTTCTTCTTATTTCTCATTTCCTGCCCTTTGCAGGCATTGTTGCAGTGTGTGTTTATGGGGGGAGGGGAGGACAGGAGTCACACATACACTGGGTTGTGGTGCTCACTGGAGGCTGCACAACTTTGCTGTGCTGCTCACGTACACACATGCACGCACGCCACCAGGGGTCCCTCTCCTGGCTGAGGTGCTCACTCACACACACACACACACACACACACACACACACACACGGGCTGTGGTTCCCTGGAGATCACATGCTTATGCCGTGCCAAGAGGCCCCTGACAGCCGAGCCACAGAACCACACTCAACACATACGGGCAACATCAGGGTTCGAACTCTTCACCTCAGGCGCACAAGGCAGGCACTTCTGCAACTGGATTAGCTCCCAGACCCAGGATAGTTATCTGTGACCTACTTAATGGCTAAGAAACTTAGATTCCAGTGAGGTGATTTGTCTGAAACCACGTATTTAATGAAAGAGTGAAAATTTAAACCTAAATAATTTTCTTTTTTTTTATTTTTGGGGCTACATCCCATGGTGCTAAGAGTGTACTCCTGACTCTCCCTATAGTGCTCAGGGGATCCTATGTGGTGCCAGGGAGGGACCCACATTGGCCTCGTACCCGACCTGCTGTGCTATCTCCCAATATTGTCTTAAATCCAGAATTCCTTGCAGTACTACTTCTCTAGAAACATTCATCTTTTTTTTTTCCCTCCTGGTCCTCCCAGGTGGTGTCTGGGAGTCCCTGGGGCCTCTCCCAGCAGTTCCAGCCCTGCTGTGCTAGAGATTCAGTGTGAGGTCCCAAGGGCGCCCTGCTGCTCCAGTCCTGCAGCGCTGGGCATCACCCAGTGGCTCAGAGGCCTCCGGGGCTATTCCCAGCAATACTTGGAGGACCATGTGATACCAGCGATCAAACCATGATCAAAGCGCATGTATGACATGACCCTTAATCCCGGACTGTCCCTCCCATCCTAGTCTTCAGACCACAAACCCATCAAACTTTGTGCTAAATGACAAACAGAAGAATCTGACTATAGATTCTCAACTAATGTAGTTAAGTGGCATCCCCATGCCATCAGTGCTTCTAATTTGTTTTAGTAAAGAATAACGGATTTATTTTTGGAGAAGGCACAAGTAGTCTTCTGCCATCTTTCCTCTGTCTCAAATCCTTTACAGCTCGTCTACCATCGATGCCTCGTCTTCTTGGTAGTGCTCAATCTCCTGCCACTTCAGTGAGCAGTTTAGGCCCTAGAATGCCTAGAATCTAAGTTTCTTAGCCATTGAGTCGGTCACAGACCTTTGAAAGCATCCCATCAAGTCTCTCACTAGAAATCCAAGAAGGCTCCGCAGGGTTAGAGTTGCAGGACATCACTCCTGGGCCCACCTGTCAACCCAAAGGGCCAGGAGGCTTGTTCGGCCCCCTTTGCCAAGTCTCTCTTCCTTGCCGTGTGTGTATGTGTGTGTGTGTGTCTGTCTGTCTGTCTGTCTGTGTGAAGCTTCCCTGTTTCCTCATTAAGCCTTTCTAGACCACTACCACCTGCCACTTCAGAATCACCAAATGAAAAGTAAAACCGAAATGTTGATCCCAGGCACGAGGTTTCTGCACGTGTTGCTCTTCCAGGTTGTCACTGGGAACAGCAGTACCCTTTGAGAAACGGGCATGTGTATGTGATGGTACAGCAGAGAGGGTGTTTGCCTTGCACACAGCCTAAATGGGTTAGGTCTCCAGTACCACATATGGTTCTCCAAGCCTGCCAGCAGTGATCCCTGAGCACGAGGCCAGGAAAGCCCTGAACACTACCAGATGTGGCCCAAGAACCAAAAATAAATAAATAAATAAATAAAATTTGAGAACTACAGCTCATAAGCAATTGTTTCAAAACTGTTAACTAGAAAGAAGGAGGGGGTGCCTAAAGAGAGACAAGGACTGAAGGGAGATTTCGTTCCAAGAATAAAGGCCCAAACATATGAATATGCTGAGAAAAGAGAGCTGGAAAAGGATGTGAGATTGGGCCAGAGAGAGAGGGTAAGGGCTGAGCATGTGCTGTGCATACAGGAGTCGCAGATTCAATCAATCCTTCGCACCACAGAATCCCCAACAGGCAGCCCTTGAGCTCTGCTGGGATGTGGGCCAAAATCAAAAGAAAACAAAACAGAACAAGAGGATGAAAAATTGAAATGAAAGAAGTGAAAATTAGTGGCGGAAGATAAGGAGTGAAATTCAGAGCTCAAGTAAAGAAATCAACTTTTTTAGTTTGTTGGTTGGTTTTGATTATTGGACCACACCCAGTGGTGCTTAGAGGCTACTCTAAGACTGTTGTTTAGGGCTCCCTCCAGCAGTGTTTCGGGGGACTATGCAGGGCCGGAGATTGAATCAGGTCCTCCTAGAAGCAAAACTTGCACACTTCCGTTGGTGCCATCTCCCTGTCGCAGGAATTAACTGAGATCATGCAAGAAACAACTATTTGAGAAGGATGAGAGTAATATGAGTTCTGTATAAAAAAAAAAAAGGATTTTTGGGTTATATGAGAAATTAAGGATTGTGATTTAAAAATATGTCAGTTGACATACACACAAAGTCAATCAATTATATATCCACGAATTTTTTCAGTATTCCATCCTTCGAAAGGTAAAACCTGTTCCTCTCCCTTTGAGCATGAACTGGATTTAGTAACTGGTTTCTGATGAATAGGTTATGGCAGAAAGTGATGGTATCTGGCCAGGTCAAAAAAGGCGTCGCCCATTCTCCTCCTTGCTCTGTCTCTCTCAGGTTTCTCACAATAGGGGGTGCCAAATGCCATGTAGCAAATGGGGACTTCTAGCAGCTCTGCGACACAGTCCTCAGAGTAGGAAGGGAGGCCTCCATGTAGCAGTCACGGGTCCTCTGGCCCCAGACAAGCCTTCCCATGACTTGGCACCAGCCAACATTAAAAATGACTGAAATTTGCTGAAAGGCCAGGAATAGAGCCCAGTTGTAGACTATGTGTCACTGTGTCACAAGCCTCGGGCTCTGGGGTTTTATCCCCAGCACCAAAAGGAAAAAAAAACCCTCCTGGGTCTCTGCCAATCTGCTCTGACAGTCCTGACACCCAGAAAGTGGGAGATAACAAATATTTGTTGTGGGAAGCTGCTAAGTTTTGAGGTCATTTATTATGCAGATAATTTGAAATCTTGGGCCAGAGAGATAGTTCTGCGGGTTCTACGGGCTTTCTGCACGCAGAAAGCATAGATTCAATCCTCGGCATGGCGTGACACCCTGCACACTGTCGGGAAGTAGCCAGGAGTAGCCCCCTGACTACTGCAGGATGTAGCTGAACCGCACCCAAAAAACCCTTAACTGCTAACCTCTAATCTGTGATTTGGGAGTCAGGTTTGTTGTTGAGATGAAGGAAGAAGGAAAAGACTAAAGGTTTGAATGGGCGCCAAGAGAAACAGTCACGAGACTCAAAGATGGGGCCCAGGGAGATGGCTCAAGCTTTGCCTGCAGGAGTCCCAGTTTTAAATCCTGACACTGTGGTCCCCTGAGCCCAGAGTAGCCCCTGAGCACCACCAGGTGTGGCCAAATGCAAACCCCAAACAAACAAACTAGAGAAGATTTTGTCATTGACAGGGTCAGCTGAAGTTAGTTGTCACACTAGCTCACAGTGCTCTTTCTTTGGAGGGGCGGGGGCATCCGTAAGGCAGGGGAGTTTGGCATGGAAGAGGTCTGGAGTCTGAGTTGCTTTCAGCTGAAGTGCTAGGAATTCCAGTCAAGCATTCTGAACAGCATCATCTACTGATTGACCCTAGAGTCAAGTCCTGAGACAGTGGACTTCAGGCAAGAGTTTGATGCATGCGGGGCTGGAGAGATAGCACAGCAGGTAGGGCGTTTGCCTTGCATGCAGCCAACCCGGGTTCGATTCCCAGCATCCCATCTGGTTCCTTGAGCACCGCCAGGAGTAACTCCTGAGTGCAGAGCCAGGAGGAACCCCTGTGCATCGCCAGGTGTGACTCAAAAAGAAAAAAAAAAAAAAGAGTTTGATACATGCCCCTGAAGGTGTGTGTCTTCGTTACACTCTACTCCTCAAGGTACTAGTTTCAATCTGGGGCTTCTTGTCACCTCACACAGTGAAACGATGGGCCAGCAACATGCTTCTCGTCCTGACCTGTCAAGCAAGAAGGAAAGGGATCTTTTCCCTTCCCAACTTTGGGAATCAGTCTGTCCTCCCATTGTTCATCCATTTGCTCAATGCGGGCCCAGTAACGTCTCCAT